GCCAATAAACTGAAACATAAATCAAATATATAATCTTGCTAATCAAATAAATGTTACAATGGTGGTGTAAGTTAATCTTAGGATGGTTGTATTAATTGATCTTATTATGGGTGGTGTAGATTAATTTTATTATGGATGGTATAAATTAATCTTAAAACAAATTATTTTTTTTGCTCAAAATTTATCATGAAGAGTATAATTTTTTAAAATTCTTCTTTGGATGAGAATTTACTCTAAAAGCTGTAAATTTGGTGTAGAAAAATTACATTAGATTAATTTTTTTATAATAAATGGTCAAAAAAGCCTAATTTCCTTGCACATACAGGGTGTTAGCTAGGAATAAATTTTTGCAGCATTTTTTATAAAACTGGCAATTTTTATTGTTTTTTTTTTAATATATTTTTTATATTTTATATTTTTATTACTGGCAGTTACTTTGATATATTTAACATTCTTGGTACCAAAGTAATCGAGATGACAATCGAGATGCCTTCATAAGTTATTAGATCTTTGTTGTTATAGATAGTTTTGGGTGTGTTATTATAGAATTTTTAAGGTGTATGCCATTTAAATTTATGGCATCTTTTTATTCCAGCATTTATCGATTTTAATCTTAAAATTATCCATCAAGGTTTTGTCATTACTGGTTTAGCAGGTTTAATTGTCACAACTGGTTTAGCAGGTTTCATTGTCATAACTGGTTTAGCAAGTTTCACTTGTAAATCTTTCAAAGCTTTAAAGCCTACATTATCAACTAAATTTAAATCTGCTTTAAATTCTAATGAAATTTCTTAACTTGCTTTTTTTGTTTTATCAATGGCTCAAACTTTATACCTATTTTTTCCAGCAAGTTTTTAGACAGGGATGAAACTCAGTTCCTTTTCCAATAAGAGTTTTATTTTTTGACTAAAAAAAGTAATTTCAAACAGTTGACAGTTTGGTTTATTGTATCAACTTGCATTGGTTCTTAAGAAAAACGGTAGTTGATATTGCTTTAACACTTATAGTTTCTTGTCAACTGCTTCATCCTGTTTATATGCAACTAATTTTTTTTTCATTGTTTTTTCAAAGTCACTCAAATGTTGTTTCATTATTTCAACCATATTGAGTGCACTGCATAAGAAAAAATTTTTAATTAATCCTGTTTTATACATGATACTGCTAGTTTTTTTATGAATGTTGACATTATAAAATATTTTCTTCCTAGTAACCTCATCAACAGTTAAGCATTACTACTTTTGCTACTTTTAAATTTATTTTGTCAATTAAATAATTTTTCTGCTCTTTGGAAGAAGTCTTCAATAACTTTAAACATTTTCAGCAGACAAGCTACAAATTTACTGAATGGTAGCAGTCCAAGAAAATATTCTTTTACTAAATCACAAATAGCTTGTTGTTCTAAAGATCTAAATAAAATTTTTCCCTCTAAAAATAAAGAAAATAAAGTTGAATATAATATAAATTTTCTTATACTCAAATATATGCATAGATATATACTCAGGTGAATTATAGTTTGCATTTCCAGGTGCCAATTAAAGATAGGATTATATGCCATTTTGAAGATAAATGGTCAGATGAATGTTTAACAGAATGATCTTCAAACAGTCTTTTCAATAAAAGCCATTGTACCACCTGCATTGCACATCAAATAATGTGTTGTGGAACAAACCATTGATAGAAAGTAAAATTACAGAAATTGCTTCTCGTACTTTTCAGTCAATTTCAAATGCAAATAAAGTTTTGGTTTCTTGGTTAATGAATCATTTTTTATAACATCAGGTTCTGTCTGTAATAGAGGAAGGGGGGGGGGGGTAATGAATTCAATTTTTTAATTCAATTTTTGCTTTGTAAAAGTTCAAAATTTTTCATGTAAATTGTTATCATTAGGAATGTTTTTGAAAACTGTAACTATAAAAGAATGCTCATAAACTTTATATTGCATGTTTTTTTGTGGCAATTTTATAATTAATAATTTTTATATAGTTTATATAATTAATTCATTTATATGTCAAAAGTATGTATACTTTTAATAATTGTTTCTGAAGAGCACCTATCAGTTTTCAACCATTTTTTGTAAGTTATTTCATTTGTTGAATCTCCTAACAAGAGTATAAAACCACGCTCATCTAAAAATTAGGGGCGAAGCAAATAATATATTGTTTTTTCATTTTTTATAAAATATTTCTAAATAAGATTTTAAGTTAAAGATATAATTTTATCGAAGCGCTGATATGAAATATAAAAAGCACTATGTCACTCACTTTCTACAAGTTTCTATTTTTCACTGAATATGTAATGAATGAACATTTTAAAGCTGTTAACAGTCGCTAATTTCAATAATGGAGTGTTAATTACTTTAACCAAGTACACATAGAAACATAATGCCAATATAAAAATGCGCAAATGAAATAAGAATAGAAAATTAAAAAATTACGAAAAGAAAATTAAAACTGCAAAATATTTTTAATTTTGAAAAACATCAATTAAGATTTATTTTATTTATTATTTGTAATATTCCACACATCGTTTATAACAAAATGAATATTCATAATAAAGATTTTTTTAATGTTGATATTAAATTAATTGTAAAATGTTGATATTCAATTATTTCAAAAATGCGCTGAAAAAACTTAACTAAACTATAAGAAAGTTAAAAAAAGTAATCATCTAAAAAAAAATTGTCAACGAAAGATTAAAAAAAAATTAAAACTAAAAAAACTTAATGAAATAAAAAGAACTGTTTTTAAACAACATTACTGCATTCTTTCTTTTTTTTTTACACAATTCTTTTTTTTTATGACGCAGTTGAAACCAACTAATGTTTTTTACTTACTTAGCATTAATTAAAAAATCTTTTTTATTATTTATTCATCTGTAACATTAACATTAGTTTAAAAAGGCCCAAGCATTATTTCCTTTAAAGACAAATCAAATCAATGTTTATAAAATATAATATAGAAAATGTTTTAAAAACACTAAATCAAATCAATGTTTATAAAATATATTATAGAAAATGTTTTAAAGGATTTGAATCATCATAAATGTGTACTTTTATAAATAATAAATAGTAATCAAACTAATTGTTGTTGTCTTTTGCTTCAATTAAGATAGGTACTGCATAAAGTAAACATTTGTGTAAAATTATTTTTAATATTAAAATAATTTTTAAATACATATATCAAAACAATAAAAACAAAAAATTAAATTATTCTTCAATACTAAATCAATAAGAACTTGCTTTGGTTTTGATTTTACTAATATTTTCCCAAAACTTTTGAGGATTTTAGTTCGTAGATTTTCAATATTTATTGTTTTTTCATGGATTTTTTTGTTATGGGCTGCTTTAACCGCTTTTCAAAAGTTTTTACGTGCAATGCTTCATTTTTGTTTAGTCTTGTTTTGTTTTTTTACCATAAATAGTTTTTTAAAAAAAAACAAGAAGTTGTGAAGTATAAAAATCTATTTTGTTGAAGTCTTATCATTGTAGATACCACTTCAAACATTTGTTGACAAAATAATGACTTATAACAAATAAAATGCTTTTTTTGAGCATGGTCTTTAACAATTTTTAAATTTCACGTTATCTTAAGCGCCTGATGACAACATATTATGATTTTGCAAGCGTGAAATAACACACTTAACAATTTTCTTCATCACAAGCCCTGATAGATGCTTCATTTTCTAATGAACATAAAGCTAAGGCCACCAATTGATTTTGATAGTAATTTTAATAACTATTGATAGTAATAGCAGGTTATTTCTCTTGGCAATAATCTGCTATTATCCTCATAAAAGTTAAAAACCTCCTTTACTTTAGAAGTAACATTTTTATAATTTGTTATTTTTTTTTCTTGTTTGTTTTAGCTGTTTTACTTGATAATCCAAAGAAAAACTTTTGAGTGTTCTAATTTTGGGTTTCTTTTGTTCAAAGGCATTAAAAAGTTTATTATAAACATAATAAATCATAGATATTCAAATAATAAAAATCATTAAAATTATCAAGATCCTAAACATAATATAAATTAACATATAAACAAAAAATATGATAAAAAAAACTATAAACTAAAACAAAAAGTTCAAAAATATAAATCAAAAACATCAAAAGCTTTATCTGACTAAAAAAAAAACTACCTCCTTGATCTAAAAATAGTTTCACTATCTTGGATATTTGGATTAGTTCAAAATTCAGAAAAATATATCAGAATTTTGGTTACAGAGCTGTCTTTAAATCTAGTTCTATTTTAAAAACAATATTAACAAGTAAAAACAAGTAGTTATTTCCACACTTCAGCAAACTAAGTTTTTTTAAACTTACTTGTAGTTGTGGTAAATCATATTTAAGTGAAGCTGGTTTGAAAATGTTCACACGATTTTTACAACACCAAAAGTCAATTCAAGATTGATAATGGAGTAATCTGGTGTATCAAACCACAGCCCTCAAAATTAGGAAAAATGAGATCTGCAATAAATTGCGTACCTTAAACTGTAAGAGGTAGTTTAAGGTCAAAAAAAATTTAAAACAGTTAATAGTAAGTATTAAAATATTATTTTTTTAAGTTAGTGTTTGTAAAGACTTGTTAAATCAAAATAAAATGGGCTCTATTTTCAAAAAAAGTTTTAAATTTATAAAAATTGTTTCAAAAAACACTAAATTCCATAAATGTTTAGCTAAGCACATAAGTACAAAGTATTTTTTAAATATTCTAGAAATTGTTTTTAAATTTTTATAACAAACAAAATGTTTTTTGGGTTCCTTTGTTTTGACAGTAGAATCACTTAAAGTTAAGACAAATTGAGACAAGTGAAAGTTTGTCAAAGTTTTAGTCTGTCAAAACTCTAATTGAATATAAATTTAGTTGAATATAAGTTGTTGAATGTTATTAAATTTCAACATTACTTATATTTTAAATGTGTGTGTGTGTATGTGTATATATTTAGTATAATTTGAGTACAACTAATTTTAATTATGTTTATTAATTTTTATTACTTTTGGTTTTTAGCTAAAGATAAAGAACACATTTCAGAAATCCTTCAGAATGTTCAAGTAAGGCTCAAGTTAGTTGACATTTTTGTGGATTTTGATATATATCAAAGAACTTCTCTAAATTGAAAACATTTAATACTTGCTCACATGTAATTGGCTAATAAAGAGATATCCTTGTGATTAAAACCAAAATGTTTTACAAATTCTTTTTCTTTACTTAAATATGTTTTTTCACTCTGCATGAATTTTCAAAAATGCCTTAATATGCTTATTAGATAGTTCAAGAAAAACGCAATTAAAGAAAAAATTGTTAGGAGAAACTTTTTGTAAAACGTTTTTTGAATAATTTTTATGAATTTTTTCAGAACTCTTTGAAAAAATATATTTAATAAGGTTTGTAGCATCTAAACTTGCTTATTTTGTAAAAAAGTTGAAATTGATTTTTTTAAGTTAAGGTATTATGAAAAATTGCTGCAGCACTGGTCTTGTAAAAAGTTTATTTATGTGTGTGTGTGTATATATATATAAATATATATATATATATATATATATATATATATATATATATATATATATATATATATATATATATATATACATATATATATATATATATATATATATATATATATATATATATATATATATATATATATATATATATATATATATATATATATACACATATATAAATCAGCACTCTTTTTTGATTTTAATTTTTTTTGCAACAACCGTGCTTTTTAAAAAGCATAGCAGTATATTATGCAATTAACTTTTTTTTAAATGACATTGTGTTTTTTATATTACTTTCAACGGTAATTATACTTTTGTGAGATAAGTTATACCTTTGCGAGAGCCATAAATTGCTCCCGTAAACTGTTTTAGGAAGTGCGAGAGCCATAAATTGCTCCCTTAAACTGTTTTAGGGGAGGGCGAGAACAAGAGCTAAAGCTCTCGCTTCCCGCCGAGGCCTGTATATATATATATATATAAATATATATATATAAATATATATATATATATATATATATATATATATATATATATATATATATATATATATATATATATATATATATATATATATATATATATATATATACTATTGTATGTGCATTTGTATATCCAATAAATATGGCTGCATATAAACATTTTTTGAAAAAATGTATATTTGTTTTTTTGTTTTTATTTTAATATATATTATTTGATATTTCACTGATTTATCGTGATCAGCGTTATCAGGTATAATAAATAAAAATTGTAACAAAGAAAATTATAATAAAAACATAACCTTAAAAAGATAGCATTAAAAAGACCATGAGAAAATGCAAAATAGGATTTAAATAATAGTATCAGATAATTTAATAAAAAATGGCCCCCAAGCATTTGTTGTCACATTATCACCATCATCCCTAATAAGAACATTTTTGCCACTTCCCAACTCTTGTCAAACTTTAGCTTTGTTTATTTCCAGGGATTCTTGAATTTTCCAAATATAATATTCAGGAGCAATTGATATGGGTTTGGGATGTAACCAGTCAAACGTACCTTGGCATGATTTGGAATTTTCAGTAGCACCTGCCCATTTTCTTTTTATACATTTTCTTTTTATATATTATTCTTTTTTGGTGCTCAATACGTCTTGATATAATTTTTGTTTTGCTCTAACCAATGTATTTAGGCACTTGTCCGGTAAAAAGCAACATTTATCAGTCATTTTGTCTGACCTATTTTTTATGTGCATTTGTTTTATAATCATTTTAGTTATTTCAAAATTATATAATAAATTCAGTATTGTATATAAACTTTTTTTTTTTAATTTTTTAATTTTTTATACAATACCAAAATTGAAGCTGAACTAATAGCTACGTTAATAAAATACGTCATTTTTTTTGAGTTAATTTATTTTTTTAAAAATGCAAAAGCATTATATTTTTTTAAAGTAAGTAGCTCGTTTTTTACCAATTATATTAAAATGTTATTAATTTAAATCAATAGTATACTATTTATTTTATTTTTTGTCTGATGGTGTTTATAAACTTCAAACAAATATTTTAACTTTTAAAACCTATTTATATTTTTTTTTATGAAAGTTTTAACATAAAAGTTATAATGTTGTTAGAAACCAGTACTTTTTATTACACTATTAAATTTGAGTTTGTACGTAAAATTTGTTTTCGCGCTTATATAACATTTGATTTTTTCTATTAAAAGTGTTTATAAAAGTAATCAGAAAAAGTTTAAAAAGATTTATAAAAAAATACATATTTATATAAATATAATTATGTATAATATTCTTTGATAATTTAAATAAAACAGGTTTATTGTAAATAATCATTATAACTAATTTGTCACTTTCTTTTATAAAGGAATAAGTAAACTTAATTTATGTGTTTAATATATTTATAATAATTTACAAAGCATTTCACATAGTATAATAATTTTTAAAAACGTAACATAAATATATTTTCCTTTTCAAATTTTAGTTTTTTGAGCTTAGATTTTTTCTTTTTTCTTTAAGATTCTTTTTTAAGATTTAGTTTAAAGGTTTATCTTTATCAAATTTTCTTTTAATTTTCAAATTTTCTTTTAATTTTCAAATTTTCTTTTAATTTTCAAATTTTCTTTTAATTTTCAAATTTTCTTTTAGTTTTCAAATTTTCTTTTAATTTTTAAATTTTCTTTTAATTTTCAAATTTTCTTTTAATTTTCAAATTTTCTTTTAATTTTCAAATTTTCTTTTAATTTTCAAATTTTCTTTTAATTTTCAGCGCATTTTAAAACGCCTAGAGTTGTCAAAACAAATTGTGTGGTCAAGTTGTAAAAACAAAATAGTTTATGAGTGATCAGGACTGGCATTTGGTCACACTTCTTTAGATTTTATTCGATTTTCATGTCTGTCAAACTTGAGTATTCAATGGACAAATTGTCCGGAACAAAAAAAATTATTATTTTGAGCCCTGTATATAGAGTTGCATGAAAATTTTGTTTGGTAGACGCCTGAGTTTGTATTTGGAGGAAGTTTTGTTTTATTGTTTCATAATATATTGCTTAAATTTGGAGCTGATGTGAATATAACTTTGATGTTTTGTTTTTTAAATT